TAAGAAAAAAAACATCAAGAAAAAGGCACGCTTTTGTCTTAATTTGATTGGCTTGCAAAATTAGCATCATTTCTGACGTCATTTACAGCCTGTGAGTGCATATAAATGTGAAAAATGTATTGGAAATGTCTCTAATATACTGTAAGTCGTTTTATTTCACGGTGTTAAAATTTCACGATTTCTCACAAAGTACCAATCGCAATGGTTTTAATTTCACGCTGCAAGACATTAATTTACATTTCGTATACGCGTTTAAACGTTTTTATAAACTAATGATAGCATTCACGATGGGTTTAATTTCGCGGAAAAATGATGAATTACGAACATAGTGAAATTAAAACCATCGTGATTATTTGCCAATCTACAGTAATCTCTTCTACAAAATAAAAGAACAGTTATACATATCTCAATCACCTTCTAAAATGTTGATGAATTTGCTGGGGGGGGGGGGGGAGCTAAAATTGACTCTTAACATATGTATAGTCCTTTAATTAACACGTTTAAAGAATGGATGCAAATTGTTTTAGGTCTTACTCTTGTATTATTAGTAACTATCAAAAATGTTTGCAAAGAAAATTGAAGTCAATGGTTGTAATATACTCCGGATTTAAATGAATTTACTAAATTATGATCCCCTTTACTAAACGCTGGTAAGATAATTTATCGGTCAGCTTGGAATTATTTCCTTGGGAAGTTATCTCTCTTATCAGAGGGTTGTTCTACCTTAACACGTGGAAGCCTTAGACAACCTTTGTTCAGATCTGGCTTCTTTAACACGAGTTTGTGCCATGAAATACTCTGAAAGTAGCGGAAATTAATTCAGATGTATGTTATAATTAACCTCTCTTAACAAAAGGCTTGATTAGATTCGTAGAATTTAACAAGTAAATCGCTACTCAGCCGCGAAATTAGTTGATTTATGTCGACAATCCTGTACACAGCGCCAGCAGTCCCCTATTGCTGACTCTTTGGTTTCTAAATCAATAAAAATATTGAGTAAGTTTTCTGTTGTGAAAATTCCCTATAGTTTACTTCATCCAAAGAGTGTCTAAAGCAATCGCTATAGTAAACCATTACAGGAGAAAACAAGATGATGTATCGGATAATATAACAAACGTAAATCAGTCGATTTATACATTACTTGTGTAATTACTTTGAAAAATTTCTTAATTAGAAAAAGGAACTGCATTTAACAGTCATTATGGTGTACAGCTTTCAGTGAATTTTGGTCCTTCTGGCCTCTTAAGAAGTCGCTAAAGGCAGGAAAGGAGAAAACTTTCTGTCATTATATCCAACTCTTCACACAAAAAATCGAATTACAGATTCTTTACGGCAACAGAACCGAATAAATTCTCAGGAACATCAGATTTGAGGTTAAATTTTAAAGATATATTAAAGACGTTTGATTAAAGGTGTAAAATTAACTCTAGAAATATCTTAAGGGTTGGCGACACGTTCCTTGAATATCCATTTTTTTATTTCTTAGTAATATACCAAAAATATCTATCATTATTATCATCTTGTGAATTCTGACCTTTTTTCAAAATGCTTAAAAATTTATATACACCAAAAATTGAGATATCAGCATTTTAACTGATTTCCAGTAGGATTATATAGGAAACAGCATTCTCTGGTATCTTGTATAAATGGCTGGGAATATACCTTAATTTTTTGCGAGGAAGCTTCTTAAAGTAGCAATAATTCAGTCACAAATTATTGAGAAAAATCATATATTATTGAGAAACATGTCGTCTGTCCTTAAGAAAACATGTATAGGAAATAAATGCAATGCAAATAATTCACATAGCATGCAGACTTCCATGTATCTCTTTCAGAACTTTGAAATAAAAGAAATAATTAGGTAAGAAAAACATATAATATTGATATTTCTAAAGGTTTTTTTATTGATTGAGTCACAACTAAAATTTCTGATAGATATAAGAGAAAATTTGAGTTGAATCGTAGAAAATTTTATTTTAATTTATCCGAATGACACAAACTTAAAGGAATCGATTCATCTTAAATCTTTTGTAACTTTGAAAACTTCATTTGCCATAAATGGACTTAATTGACATTATAATTTAAATATAAAGGTCACGTATCATTGTCATATTGACTATTCGGGATGAAATTTTCGAGAAATGATATCTTTTGTCAACCTTCCTCGAATCTTTTTTAGGAAAATGCTTTCCATAATCATAAAAATTACACTTAATTATTCAAAAAACTTTTCTTTCGGGAAACAAACTTTAATTATGATATAATTTTCATTTATTTCCTTTCCAAACAATTGCAGAAACTATATGTTTAAAACATCCTATTTTACGAAATGCCTCAACATAACAACATCAAAAAGCAATAAAGTGTCACATTTTTTATTTAGATATTTATTGCTTGGGGGGGGGGGGGGGTACAGGTCTGATGTTGGCCGTGTAAACATATTAACAACAGTGTTAATAACAAAAGAAAATTCTTTTTCTGACCGTTTATTCTTTCAAGACTCATGAGGATGATAAGCCAGCCCTTATGGTTTTAATTTAAGTGGGTGGGAAAAATGATCTGCTTTAGTAATTTTTTATTCTTCCCTTCCAAATCGTTAAATTATTATTACATGCATTGCCAACACAGACGCTTGATGTTACATAATCTTCTTAAATATATACATGTATACAAGGGGAAAACTATCAATGTGATAGCAAACTGGTTTTCTTTTGTGTGAATAGTACTGGTGTTTTTCAGGTAAATCATCAAACTTTCTATTCTGAAAACTTTAAGAGGTGACATCCCAACAATACCAATGTACCGTATATACATATTTTGGGAAAAATGACTAAGTTCAACAGGTGGTATTTTTCTGATAAATTATTAAAAATTGTAATGCAGTACTATGCACATCTCTGAAATATGTACAAATAATCTGCAAATAAGAAAATTTCTTTCTTTAGATATTTAATTATAGGAGGAGTTATTATCCGGACAAATGGGGTACCCTATATGCAATGTTTTGAAAATTATTACATTTGAGTTGAAAATTTACAAAAATGCGGGTCATGTTTTAGACCGCAAACATGTTTTAACAGAACGACTGTTTAAAGAAGGGGGAGGGACGGTATAAAACGCAAGTAGTACTATTTATCAAAATATCTGCTTAAGCACAATGGGATAAGCTAGCTCAGCTATTGCTATTCATTTCGTCTCGTTTTCTGAACAAAAAATCAGATATAAAATAGTTTTACCGTAACATCAATTAGTACTACATCATTCAACTTACGTTTTCACTAAGATGAGAGATCGGATTTGAGATTTTTGTATGAGTCTGATCACTGTTTGTTATCTTCGCCCTGGTGAGTCTTTCAAAATCTTTCAACAATTCTATCAGTTGGATTAAAAAATTCGTATGAGTTTGGTCACTGTGCGATAGCTTCATCCTGATGAGTCTTTCAACTCTCTCAGTTGGATGAGAAATATTTACGTGCACCCAAATAGGCAAGAGAGAACCCCTAACTGCTCGTAGACTTTGGAGCCACAGGTACTTGCCCCCCCCCCCCCCCCCCCCCGCGCTCCGTCACCATTTACAAATTGTATCAATTAAAAAATACAAAATATAACTTAAATCTACTTTTTATAAAAAAAATCACACTTGCTGATTCTAAAAGAGAACAAGGTTGGCAACTTCGACAGAAGACTTTCGACACCTCTGTCGAAAATCCTCAGAAAATGAAGATAAATTATATTTACCGATTGCAAGTAAAGGTTACCGATCTTCATGTATTATTAGCGGCCGACTTATTAGTGGTTGTGTAAGAATGTGCACATGAGGGAATGAGAATTTTTTTCATTGCTTTAATGAAATATTTCCTTATTGAGAACAAACATAAAATTTATAGATAAAAGTTTTTAAAAATTGATTCATACTAAGTCTATATGGTTTATATCATTTTTCAATTTGTTTTTCATTTCTCATCAAATGTTTATTAATTTATGATTTTATAAAAATGTGTTAATCAAATGAGTAACAGTGTCTATAAAATAAGCAATAAATTGTAAGAGTTTTCAGAAGAGATAGAAAAATCCAGGGTACCAGCACGTGAAGTTCGTACGTCCTTTTTTGTCAGCATTCAGATATTCATAATTATTAATTTTAGATATTTTTTTGCATTTGCCATTGAATCAAATAGACTGACTTTCATTTCCATGAATTTATTTATTATGACCAATATTTAAGTATTTTGTTAAGTTAAAAGTAGTTGTTACACCATTTATATGTGACCAATTTTAATTTTAATCTCGTGAATTATTTTTCAGTCTAACAGACTTACATGCTACAAGGATACGTTTACGATCTACGGCCTGCTAGTAAAACGGTCGCCATGTGTTCAGTTTTTTGGGGTTTTTTTTTATACTTTAATTTCTACTTCCCAGTAAAAGCTACATTACGTGTTTTTATAAAATATCAACTCTGTCAGATCGTACAAAATTAATACTGAAGCTAAACAAGTCCATAATTAAAAACCAGAATCTATAGTACACGTATATTTTAATAAAACCGCAAAAGGAAATACCTCTTACTCCATGACTGCAGGAGTTTATCAATTAGAGATGGATGAATATCAATCTTGACCAAATAATGAGCAATCTCGTGATTAACTGGACTAGATTCTCAATGTCGGTTGACATCTAAGTCTAATTAAAGGCTTGTTGAAAATGAATAAATGGTAGTAAGTGGAAAAAGAGGTTAAACGTATACTTATCTGAAAGATCAATCTACGCAGAAAGTATCATGTTCGGTTTTGCATTTAATGAACATGTTAATAAATTATGTACATGTTTCGAAATCATCGACTTCTACATTAGGATTATAAACGATATTCCGATTAGAGGCTACTTTGAAATTTTAGTGAACATTAATATTGATTACACTTTCTTCAAATGACTCCAAAAATGCTTACGCGAAAATTCTTGTAGGAGTTATCTACCTTATTCAAAATGCTCATACTTACCACAGTTGATTTCATCACTGTTGTCTCCACAGTTGTCTTCAATGTCGCAGAAGTTGTCACGTGGTACACAATAATGGTTTTTACACTTGCCGTGGGTAGGGGGACAGGCATATGTAACTATCATAGCAAGAAATTAAGGAATTTTAAAAATCAAATCTCTTGTTTCTACAAATTCTTACATGTAACAACCTGTTTGCACTAAAATTATTTCTAAAATGCGTAAAATTGTAAGAATTAAAGTTGCTCGAACTCAATATGTATGTGGTAAAGTGATATAAGAAGTTTATTTATTTCAAATAATATATTTTTCATTGAAAATGAAAAATTCTCTAAATACGGAAATCTTACTGCAATCTTGTTCATCAAGTCCATCACTGCAGTCTTCTACTCTGTCACACCTTCTGATCAAATCTATACACGTAGTGCTATTGCACTGGAACTCTGTGCTCAAACAACCTGTGGAAAAAAGAATGATTCTTTCATGACTTCTGATCAGACTTTAACACGATTTATACTTTAAGAAATCTGATTAGTTTTCGTTTGCATTGTCATGCATGGAACCGACTCTAACTACTTAAGCTATGCATTTAACAGGGACTCAGTAAAATAAAGTGTCATAAGTGTCTATCAATAAGTTCGTATTTTTGTTAAATAATTTACAATAATTTAATATTTATTTAATGTATATTTACTAGCAGACAGCATTGTCAAAATCAAGATGTATTTTTCCCTTACAATTGAGCTTCCAGATTTAGGAAGAATATAAAACTCTACTCAAGTCGTGAATCCATCGGAAATTAATCAAAGTCCATATGTTGCCACAACTCATTTGCACAAAATCGGTTTTTGTTGATTCATACTAAACAGAAAATATTATGCATACAGCACATTTGTCTATTTATTTCTTTTTATTTCGAAGAGAACATGCAACGAAGAACTCCAAAGCTAAACAAATCTACAAAATATCTGCGTATCTGGGGGAGAGTTATTAATAGCCAGGGTATATCTCAAAGATATACTTTTCTCGCGCCATTACCTGAGGGTTGATTATTGATTGTCAAAGACAGTTACTGTTCCTGATAAAATACATCGATCACTGGAAACAAGAGGGCATATTTGGCTCATCATATCCCCCACCTGACTGACAAAACGTTTGCTTACTACATGTCAGATTGACAAAGCGATGATGAGAGTGAATATCGAGCTGTTCCCCTCCAACCAGCTGGCAGAATTAATCTACTCTCAGATTGTTGAAAGAGTCGTAATGTGTAGTGTGCGCACACTACTAAACCTAGAGTAATTGTTTTCAGGCAATGATTCAGAACATTAAGAAAAATGTTCAAAATATTGTCATTATTTTAAGAATAACAACCAATACAACTTATTAAGTTATCCGAAAGTAAAGGAGGCTATAAAGACTGATCAAATCACTCAACAGACAACAATTCTTGTAAAGGCATTTAGTTACTTCAAAACAAGTTGTAAATCAAATTATTCTTATACAAGATTTATTATGGAGAAAAAACAATTAATAATTTAAGGAAGCTCAAATGCATAAAGTAATCCGAAACTTTCATCGAGAGAAGTTCTTGTGTCTTGATTAGCTCTATCAGTAGAAAAGGCGAACAAGGAGCAATAGGAAGCATCCAATTCACAGAGAGAACAGGTATATCTGGACAGAATCCAACTCTTGTTGAACATGAATAACAAGATATCGAAATTTTCTAATGTTCACCAGACACCATGTGAAAGGGGATTCTTGCAGAGCCTGACGGAGACTTGTATGTTACTGGGAAAGGGTTATACAAACTGACAATAGATGTCATTGTACTATATGCATGTACTGTAGATAGTTCATCAAAATGACATTGCCTTTTATGTTTGTTTGCTTGTTTGTTTGTTGTTTAACGTCCCTCTCGAGAATTTTTCACTCATATGGAGACGCCACCACTTGCCGGTGGAGAGCTGCAAATTTTGTCCTATGCTCGGCACTTACGGCCATTGAGCAGTGAGGGGTCTTTTTCGTGCCAACACCTACTGCGACACGGGACCTCGGTTTATACGGTCTCATCCGAAGGACCGGTCTCCGCGTCCCACAGTGGGATTCGAACCCGCGACGTAAGGATCAACTCCTTACCTCGCGATTCTAGAGCAGACGCTCTAACCACTGTGCCAAGCGGGCAACTGCCTTTTATGTCTATAAATACTTATTTTTTGTGGAAGTGTATTAAAACATTATAATCTTTGTAACGTTAGTTGTATATATGAAGTTAGTTTTAGAATTCAGAGAATTTTAAACTGGAACAATTTAGTGTTACAGTTAGATTTAAATTTTCTGAATTCTAACTGTAACATAAGTATAATGTATAACCCATCGTCAGGTTTTGTGGTGCTTCATATGATGGAATACAGTGCTCACAAGATCTTTCTATCCCTAACCACACGTGGCTAGCCTATATCATGTATCTCTTATACATACCGAATGTGGCTATAGCTATATCATTTCTCCTTTATTCTCTTTATCATTCCTCCTTTATACATTATCTATATTAGCCTCTATTCATTATACCTCTTATATATACCACACGTGGCTATATCCTTTATATTTCATAAATAATAAGGTGGCTAAATATCATGAATCCCTTCTACATACCACAAGTGGCCATATCCTTTATACCCTATAAATACCACACGTGGCTATATATCATCTATCCCTTATACATACCACAAGTGGTTTTATATCATCTATCCCGTATACATACCACACGTGGATTTATATCATCTATATCTTATGTAACAAAGTGGCTATATATCATATATGTCATATACATACCATTCGTGGCTTTAAATTATATCATCTATACCTTATAAATACCAAAGTAGCTATATATCCTCTATCCCTTATACATGCCGTACGTGCCTATATCCTTCATGCCTTATAAATACCAAACGTGGACATATATCACCTATCCCTTATACATACCACACGTGGCTATATCCTCGTCCAGACCGTTGCTACAGTCACTTACACCGTTACACTTGACTTGGTTTGGGACGCACTCTCGACCCCCTAGGTCACACATAAACACGTCCTGGGCCTGACAGTCTGTTTTCGTTGGATTCTGCTGCACCAGTGATGGGTCTGAAAGAGAGATCATGGATATGTATTAACTTTGATAATGGTTTATATTTTAAAATACAGTAAATAGGGGATGCTCGTAAGTATATGACTACGTACAGTAGAAGTGGGAAATAAATGCAAAAAGCAAGGTTCACTTAGCATCATTTTTTGAACCTGTGAATTTCTGATAAATCAAAACGTAGCTCTAGTCAATTGCAATATGTAATAAAAATTCTGTAAAAGTCTGTAAGTCTTATTCAATGGTATAGGAGGAGTGCGGATAAGAGATGGGTATTCTCGAGTGTTACGGACGGGAGGCCCCTATCCCTATATACATATAAAACATCACTTTATATGTATAATAATGTTAACGTGTACATATAGTTATGCAATATGTATGAGAAATATTTAATGCATGAACTTTTGTTCAGAAATGATTGAAAATAACGCCTGCAAGTAAAAATAATAAGGCATGTCACTCGTCAACTTTTGAGAAAGTTTGGTCAGAATCTCTAACTTCAAAATTATTTATTACAATTGAATTTTTATGACAAATTTGAATTAAACAATGCAAATTATACAATATTCAATTTAAAAATTGCTCACAAAATTGTTTAGAAGCTAGATTTATTGGGGACTATTTCCTGTGGTGGAGGGATATTTAGAAGGAAATTATTCAAATCTACACATTTGTTTGATTAAATTTCTTGGAATTTTAGCCAAGGGAATATTAAATATAGGTTTCAATTAACATTTTTAAAACAAATTTTACACATTCACTCAACAGACTTTGCCAAAAAAAGATATAATTAAGAAATCAAGATAAAATTTAATTTTTTTCCCTGAAAATCGCATATTTTGACCAATATCTCAAAATTTACATCACTGACCCAAACTTTTTTTTTTTCATTATTTTAAATTATACGATACATTCAACCGATCAGGACTAAAGTCATAAAAAAACTTGATACAAGGAACATGAGGAAAAATTTTATTGCCTATCTAGATTTTTAATACCCCTAAAATGTTATTTTTTTTAGTGCAAAAAGGTCACACAATACTTTATGCGCATTAATTTACAGAAATTTTTTTCAAATATATTATTCAAAAATTGTACTAAAGTAAGATCATATTCATGGCCATGATTACATTTGGTAAAATATGATAAAGGTTAAAGTGATTAACCTGAGAGTTATAATTTAATTGCAAAAATGTCAAGTAAATGGTAACGTTGTTCAGTAAGATGTACACTGACCCAAAATTTTCTTTGCGAGTTTGAGCCATACTATATCAGTAGTTATCTAAAATAATCCTTGATATAACTCATATCACGAGTAACATAAAATATTGTGAATTTACATAATATATAAAACATGTAAAAATTGAAATAGCTTTGTGTAAAACATGTGATAAAAAGAATCTCCCGTAATTTGTGGTTGCAGAAGGAAATTAAGGTTGTCTTTCAAACCATAGCAACCGTTAAATTCATAGAACTTCAATAGTTTTTAATCACCTTAAGTAATTTAATGCTTGATATTATGCATAGCATTCCCAATGTTTAATAACAAATTCAGGTGAACACAATACCTTCATTAATGTCGCTTCAAGTTTAAGATCTATAGTACTTATTAAGATATTGTATCGCGGGCAATAGTTTCAGGTTTCAAAAGTTACCTACGTACAAGCTAAAACGAATATAGAGATTCCACAACGACGCTGATAAGAAAATTGCTAAAATGTCCTTTTCTTAAATCGAATTGCTTAGAGAGAAAGTAAATAAATGTCATTCTCGTCACCTTTAAGTCACATTTTATTGGAGAAAGTGATTGTTTAAGATTAAAGGATAAAGAACCCCCCTTCACCTTTCTTTGAAACTTTTTTTGGACAGAAGCTAAAGACGGAATATATTTAATCATTTAATAAATGAGCAAACCATTAAGTCAAATAATGAGGAAAAAAATAAACATATATTCCATATATACATGTATATCATTCTTAAAATTGCGAGACAATCTTATGGGGTTTTTTTTGGTCGTATTTCTTTTGTATACATGATTTGAAGGCGCAATGGTTATTCCTTCATTACATTCCATGTAGTAATCAATTAATTAAATAGAAGGAAAATGAAAGCCAGAAACTTATTAAAAGTATGGAAGAGTGCCTTTGTGGTGTTCTTTGCAAATGAGCCAGCCACCTTTACATTTTTTTCATATTCACCATCTTGTCAGTTAACACGTCACCTATTATTCACCTTTTATTAATTTCATATCTCTTTTTTTCATAGTGCGCTAGGTAACCTTGGATGTAGAGTTTGATGATATATAATTTACAAAGATTTATTAGAGAAAAATAGGTGAATTGTGAGGGGAAATGGCCTATGTATTCTTGTTTGCGGAGCTAAACGCTTAATTCCATTTAGATTTATTTGTGTGCTGCGTTTTGGAAAGCTCTATGCAAAAAGATGTATTGTGCAATGTAAAACAACGGAAAATATGATTTTATAAAAAAAAATTTAAGTTACTTTATTTTAAATATTCTAACTGATCAGATAAATAATTAAAATCTTAATCAAAATCAACTTGTGTCCAATCCCATTGATTGTGTTTCAATAAAATATGTTTAAATCAAAAATCGAAATCTGTTTAGCATACACCTGCATCTTTATGCACTTTTGAAATTGATTATTTATCAGCACCGACTGCATAAATCACTGATGGTGGGTGCAACATCCGACCGTGCTATAGCGCGATTTACAGTACCAACCAAAAACATTGTCGGTAGTGTATATGTACTTTATTCAAAGTTTTTAAAGGGTACCATAGGTATATCAGCACATTTGAACACCCTTTAAAAAGATGTTAAAAAATTTTGTAATATAATTTATCTTTAAAATATTTTTGGAAATTACTTTTGTAAAAGAAATTATAAGACAGTGGAATTTTACTCCATATGCTTTATCTGCTTAGCTAAAATAGAACATGACATTGAAGTTTTGTGCACCATATGTTGATTTAAAAATCAAGAATTCCAAAGACTATACTCACAGGATTTTGACTTTGTCATAGCATCTTTTTTTACATAGAGTGGATCCTTTTTTTTAAATAAAATGTAATTTAAAAAACATGGATAGAGTAAAAATATATATGTTTTATCGCTTTTAGCCTTTTATCGATACACAGAACGTATGCAACGTTCTGATCAATTAACATTTATAAATGGCTAAACGGATAGAGAATTTTTTAAAAATAAAATAGGCAAATTTGGGGGAATTGGGACATAAAAATTGTCGCTTTAAGCGCATTTTTTCAGCCTTATTTTTATTTTGGCCCGTTATATACATGTTCTACAGTAATTATATAGTCTCTAGAAAAGATCTTTGTACACTCTACTACAGTACTAGTATTTTTTACTATTTTCCAACAAATAAGAGATTGTCAAAGACAAAAACCAAACAAACAACCAGATGGCAAAAAGATATGAACATCTCCATAAAAACAATCTTTGTTTCATATACCTGCACTTTCAAAGAAAGTTAGGAGATACATGTACATGTATTGTTAACCCGGTCCGTCCGTCTGTCACACTATCTTCATCCTCAAGCCCCTCTTATATACTCTGAATATACTATTCATCTTTAGGAATATGATGCGTAGTAGATGTGCAATAAGGTTTTCATAATTTTTCATCCAATTTGGAGCCAAAACAAGACGTTTGCGGAAGTCCTTTTACATTTTACGAGGCATCCAAATTATCTTTTGGAATATGATTGGTGTTGTTCTGTAAATGTGCATGAAGGTTTCTTCCTGAAGGTCAACAGTGGGTCGAAAAACGAATCGTTTTCATCTTTCTCGTAAATGTTATTACATTGATAAATATTACATCATCTCCAACCTTTAGTAGTTGACTTTATGACATTTTGAAATATATTAAATTAATATTTTTTGAATTACTCATGTACAGATTTCTTTGAAATATACCTGAAAAGGATTCCATATACACCGAAGAATTGTTTTCTTGCAAACTATTTACATTGTAAAGGTCTCGGCCTATCCTCGCAGTTAAATACTTTGAGTTGTGATAGACAATACATAGCTTTATTCCATTATATCACTAATGGTGAATGAATCTGTTTTCTTTCTCTAATATTGGGTGTAAATTATAGAAAATTCAATAACTGAGGAAGAGAGGAAATCTTTGGCCATGCAGTCGAATTTTCCGCCAATTAATATTGGCTTCTGTAATTTCCATACCAGTGATACTGACTGCGGAACTTGTACTGCTTCCCGCTTTGGAATTCATAATTGTGTAATAACACGTTCCGAGAAAGAGCCTATTGTAGAGAATAATGGATTTATATGAATAAAAGCATAGAATCCCGCTTTTACATACGTACATGTCTGACTATGAATAGGAACCTGATGCATTACTGTCACCATTGCAGTCTGTAAATACTGTACTTGCTAAGAGGAATGCCCCCTTCATTTAATTTTTAATTCAAAAAGTGTTCAGGAAATTTTTCTAAAAATATCCTTCAGGGCTTTTCTTCTTTGTTCTAATTATAACGTAAAAAGGGGCACTCGAAAGTCAAACAGAGTGTAACATCCGTCAGAATATACAAATTCTGGAATTCCTCGGCTGGTAAAAAGCCTTCTTTTCCCCAAAACCCCTTTAAGTTAGCTACTCAGTACTTTAGCTGGATGAACAAGACAGATTCATGATATGGGAAAACTGTCTGCCAAACAATTGCTTGAGGCAAAATTTCGTTTATATGAATTGATGATAAGTAGAAGTTAATATGAAATAAATTACTTATACCCGTACAGCCAAGGGGTACGCATAATATCAAATAATGTGCCATTATAATAATGCTTCAAGAAAATGGAAATCAGTTTTCTCTGCAACATGTACATGTTCATTCTTTAAAGCAGAGTACACGTAGGTTGATAATTTGATTTTTATTTTGTTTCAATTTATATGCATGGGGTATGTCCATTTTGTCACATATATCTTTTGCTATGTTC